TGCTAAGTTATTCTTTCATTTACCTGTTTTATACTTTTCTTTTAAATCTGCAGCAATGTAGATTTCACAAATAAACTTGTTGTTTATTTCAACAACAAAAAAGGTTACTACAAGGGATGACATAGACTTAAACTTACTTTCCACATAATATTAAAAACAAATAAACACATGTATCTCTCCCACCTTTGCTATGTTTTCTCCAACCTGTCCCCATCATGTGCTGTTGGTGGCTTTAACTGGTGAACATGCTGTTCTTCCTTGCTGAGTTTTCCTTTATGGCCCAGCTTGCAGGTGTGAGATGAGTTCAGATTTTAAACTCTCCTCTGAAGCGTATGTAGTTCTGCTCACTTTATTTACACAATTCTAATAAAACATGCTGGTCAGTGGTAGCTGCCTAGACTAGCTCAGTAGACAGACCTATCCATGAGTTTGTTTGGTGGGGGAGTGCAAAAATTAAAAGTTAACTGTGGATTGACTGTCGAGGATTTTGCAGGTAACACGCATGCTTCCTTCTTGATTACAAAGAGTGACTTATAAATCTCCCTTCTCTTATATATTTTGAATCTGGATGCTGGCTATGTCATTAGTTTATTATAAATTTCCTTGACATTACAAATGCACCAGGACTGTAAACCTAGCCTGCAGTGGTCTGCCTACAGACCTGTATTCAATACCTTTACAATATTGGGAGGGCTTCTTTTAAAAGACTGTATGGATGCATTAAGCGGACCTCCATGGGGTGTCCCTGCTGTTTTGCCTGCCATTTTTAGTTAATAAGTGATGAAACTGAGCCACCTGGTTTAGATGTGGATATTATCATTTCCTGCTGTCCTGATGGTGACAGGTGAGCACCCCATGAAAAACACCATTAACTGAAGCAAAGGCTGCTTTGATCAAAATCAGGAGAGAATCGGTAGCAATTGACATGGAACCACAGCCATTGTTGCCTAGATCATCTGTGGTCACTTATTTTAGGGCCGTTCTGCATAAAAAAAGCCCCAGAGATGCAAAAATAAGGCCTCAGAATATTTTGGTATATGTTTTAAAGAGTTTCCTTTCCAAGTGCTTTGCAAATCTGAGCTCAGTGTTGCTTTTCAATAGGATTATAAGAAGCCCTCTTCTGGGAATTTAGTCTGGTGTAATTCAAAATCCTGTTTCGGGTTGAAAACTGCTATTGTTGATACTGCAGGTAGCTTTCCCCTTGGAAGTTGCTCTCCAGCCGAGAGAGGCTTTGAATAAAACATGGAGATCTGGAAACTGGAAGAGGAGGGAGGGCAGCAGAATGAAATTGTTCTGACAAGCAACCTACTTCCCTTTCTTTTTTCCCCTCCCGCCCCCATTGAAAAATCCATTTCATGGCAAGAGTGAGGGAAAGATGGCAAGTGTGTGGAGAAACACATTGTGCAAAGTAATTTCTTTAGAAATTAACTTGTTCTGTTTTACTGCCACTCTGGGCAGAGAGCTGATACAGCGCCGTGACTAAGAACATGACAGAAAAAGCAGAAGATGAAGAGAAGGTGCGGCTGTCGGTTGTGTGTTGTATACAGTATGTGTGTATAGGAGTGTTTTATAAGCGTTCACCTGTATGGACCCATAGAGATGTAAAAAGTGTCAGACACGACTAAACAACAACAAAACTATGCTGTGCTCAAAAGCCTTGCCTCTTCTTTCCTTTTTCCCCCCTCATTCTCATCTCCAAAACAGACTAGGAGTGTACAAACTGCTCAGGGGAGCCAAACATCTCTTCCACAAGAACAAACTTTAGCAGCCCTGCATAAATTAAGTCAAATCTGGATATTCTTGTTTCATTTACATCAGTCTCAAGTGTAGTAGACATGACTGGGGAAACATAGCATTTGAGCATAATGAATCTAAATACGCTAATCGAAAGGAGAAAATAAAAGCAAAAACTTTGATATAATTTTATATATATTTTAATTGTATTTGTTTGATATAACATCCCCACAGGGTCTCCTGGGAACTGTCCATAATTCTCAGGAGTTTGGTGACTGTCTATTTAAAGCAACTTCTTTTGCTCTGAATCTGTGTCGGGAGCAGGCCATGGTGATGATGGGGAAATCTTTGAGAAGAAGAGGCAAGGTGCTAAGAGACTGGCAACCTAACCAGTATAAGTACCACATTAGAGAGGTTTTATTACTGAGAATGCAGGTCTAAGGTAGCTGTGATATAATGTGGTAGGAAATGCACATTCCTGAAGCAAAACGCCTTGATTTTGGTGGCATGTAGACCCAAGCAGCTTTGTGATCTCCAACTGTAGCCCAGGACCTCAGTAGCTCCACTCAGTCCCTGCCTTTGATCTTTCAAGCAGGTCCTCGTCCTCGTCCTCCCCAAGATGGTACAAAACCATGCCCGATAAATGCACCACTTGAACTCTTGCTATCCTGCCTGCAGCCGGTCTTCTGAAGCTGAGAGTGGTCTCCAGAGTTAATTAAAGCAACCGAGGAAAGCCTTGGTAGCCTTTTGCTGCTGTTGTGAATGGGAAGATGCAGCCCTGTGGTGTACCCGGATCTCCCATCCTTTACCTGGGGGGAAAACAGGCTTATCCACACATAAGTAGGAGTGGAAAATATCATTGTAAAGATTGGCCGCCTGCATCTGCCGTGTGAAAAATAGAGATAGGTTGGCAAAGTTGGTGGCTGGCTGCCTTGAGCAACGGCTCTGGCCTGTTACTTCACCGCAGGAGCCTCGTGTCAATTACCGGGTTTGCTGCTCTTTGCACGGAGGCACGCCGAACCAGCTCTTAAGGATTTATCTGTCCTGATAGGATGCTAGTTTTAAAGAGTCTCAAACGAAGAGTCCAGTGGGGTCTGAGAGTGGCCCGTGCGCCCGTGGAGCAGTGAGATTAGATTTTTAGGGGCATGCTGTCTCGTTGGAAAATGGTAGGGCCAAATCCATGCTTAGTCTGGCGTGTGAGTAAGAGACTAGTGCAAATTAGCTAGTCAAACCAGGAATGCTTTGGCTTTCTTAGCATGTTGTCAAAAGCTGGGACCCTGGCTTGTTTTGGAGAAGCCCCTCAGATCCTAGGTTCAGATGACATGCAGAAGAGCTGCTCTTGCAAATGCATAGTCTAGTGTTATTTATTTATGTATTTATTTAAAATATGTTTACCCCTCCTTTCCCCTTAAGAATGACCCAAGGTGGCTTACATCATTAAGAGACAACGTGTGCTGATGTGGTAGCTGCCTGTGAAGCAAGGTGCTTTGTGGTCTAGACCTTCCCTGTGATGCTGATGGAGAGGTCAGAGGGCATCTGTCTTGACTGCTGAAGAATGTGCGACCCAGTTTCATTGCACCGTAAGCGTGGAACATGCTGGCAGAATAGGACCCTTTTGCTTTCTTAGCATGTTGTCAAACACTGGGATCCTGGCTTGTTTTGGAGAAGCCCCTCAGATCCTAGGTTCAGTTGACATGCAGAAGAGCTGCTTTTGCAAATGCATAGTCTAGTGTTATTTATTTATGTATTTATTTAAAATATGTTTACCCCTCCTTTCCCCTTAAGAATGACCCAAGGTGGCTTACATCATTAAGAGACAACGTGTGCTGATGTGGTAGCTGCCTGTGAAGCAAGGTGCTTTGTGGTCTAGACCTTCCCTGTGATGCTGATGGAGAGGTCAGAGGGCATCTCTCTTGACTGCTGAAGAATGTGCGGCGACCCAGTTTCATTGCACCGTAAGCATGGAACATGCTGGCAGAATAGGACCCTTTTGTTTCATCTTCTGGCGCAGATACTTTGGGTGTTGTGAAGTTGTGTCGCTCTTCACACTTGACAAGAGCAGTCATGGCTGTTACCGAATCTAGGAATGGTATAAAATGCAGGCTGAAATTCCTTGCCCAGGATTTAAGTATGGCATGGTTCTGTCTTCCGCTTGTCCATTGAAGCAGGAGTGTTAAAGATTTTCTCAGATTACCGACATTGCTGTTCTTGCTGAGTTTGACACACATTTAGCCTAAAAGGCGTTTCATTAATCGCAGAAGCTGGCCACTGTTGAATAGAAGCTGCTTTATGGGGAAGGATCATTTTATACAGATCAGCATATGCCCCTCTGGGGTGCAGAGACATTGATGCCCCTACCCACTCTTTTTAGATGGGTACCCTCCGTTTAAGGGTTGTAAAGCATGCAGGGATGATGGCGTCGTTTTTGTATCTGTTTATGGGGAATAGGCAACAGTTCATGAAGTGCTGTTAGTGTATTGTCACCGTGAAAACATGTTCAAGTCTGTACGAAATACTTCTTGAAGGTTTGTGTTCAGTGTGCCTCGAAATCCCCCCCATGGCTGTCGTCTTGCTTGCAACCTCCCAGAAACAGTAAATTCTTCATATGGATATTTAGCATGAACCGTGACAATGGCAAGGATTTTTCTGTATGTGTTCGTGATTATGCTGGACTAGAATTTAAGAGAAGTGGGTTCAGATCCCCATTTAGTCGCATACTTGGCCTAGCCTCTTCTGGAGATTAAGATAAAATTGTAAGGAGGAAAGCAATGTATGCTTCTCAACGCTCTTTTGAGTAAAAGTGGTGTGTGTGTCTATCTGTGTGTGTATCTATCTATCTATCTATCTATCTATCTATCTATCTATCTATCTATCTATCTATCTATCTATCTATCTATCTATCTATCTATCTATCTATCTATCTATCTATCTATCTATCTATCTATCTGTCTATCTAGTTAGTTTTAAATTTCAGATGTAATTGCAGGTGTCCATAGATTCACTTGTTTTGGGGGCTTTGCGTCTCCTTTTTTTCCTTGACCCTACAAACTACGAGCCCTCACCTGGGAATCAAACAAATATTTTGGTGTTGGAAGTAATGTTTTGGAATAATTTCAGATGTAATTGTTTTGGGGGCTTTGCATCTCCTTTTTTTCCTTGACCCTACAAACTACGAGCCCTCACCTGGGAATCAAACAAATATTTTGGTGTTGGAAGTAATGTTTTGGAATATATTAACCCCTCTTTTTTTCTCTTCCCCTCCCTAGTGCCACAATGGCAACTGCACCTTACAACTATTCCTACATCTTTAAGTACATCATTATTGGTAAGTCTCACAATATTCCCATCTACAAAGACTTCCAGTGGCTTAATTAGCTGTGTCGTTTACTGTCTTCTCACAGCAGGCTCCTAATCTCCTTCCGGACTTTTGTCCCACAAGAGCAGCTAATGGGAACTAGAATAACAGATTATTTTCTTATCTGTAACTTGTGGGCTTTACCTGGTGCTCTGGGCAGCTCTTCATCCTTTCATTGTTTCATAACATGTGGTATTTATTTATGAGCTGCATTTGCGTTTTTGCTTCTAAAAATCTTACTGAATTGTCTTATTAGGGGAAAAAAAATCTAGGATTGTCAAGTGAATTCTTAAAAGTTTAATTTCGGGAATTCTCTGACCTATTTCCGTGACTTTTTATATTTGTGTTGTTGTATAAAAATAAATCACGTAATAATTCTTTTTAACTTTGTTATAAACCACCTTTGAATCGCAAGGTTTGATGTAAAGGTGGCATCCGAATTAAGAGGAGGAACCATACGACAATAGGTCCTGGTATAGTGGTGAACTAGGGGTTTAATTCGGATTATTGGCTATCACAAAAGCTCATTTTGATGCTCAGAAGTTCATAACTCCTTGCAGTGTATAGAACTGAACTCAGGTTGATTCTGCAGCTTTTGCATGCATTCTGTCGCAAGTGCAATATTGAGTAAGAAATTCCTGTTGCATCCACCATCTCTCAGTGTACAGAAAGCTGTACAAGCTCCATGCTTAAAAGTGAAACTGAGAGGTGTGCCCTGGGTCATTATTTCATTCCGAGTTGCTTCTATTCTGCGGGGATCTGACCTTTAGTCCAGAACTTGACACAACATGTCCTCTGGCCTGTACAGAAAAGTAATAATGACATGGAGCAGAGGAGAGCTTACACTTGGCCCCAGCATTCACATTTCTTTGCAATGTGGTCTAAGACTTGATTCACTCTCTCCATTCCAAGTCTTGCTTGGAACTTTTCAAACTAGCAGAAGCATAGTTTGTGTTGTAATCTCTCTGGGAAATGCCACTGTATCATTCCACACTTGGCCACTACAGTAGACAGTGGCTGAAATCCTGTTGTGCAACACTGTGCCGCAGAAGGCTGGTGAGGTCGTCATCCACAGTGGCCGGAAGCTGCGGACTTGGAGGTGTGGCTTTTCATTTCTGGAAAGTTTTGGTGTGGGTGAAGTAATCCCAGTGTCAGCAGTTTTCAGAAATTAAAGTCTTCTTGTCCTGCAGCTTCCAACAGCTTCTCCATGATGAAAGGGATTGGAAAGTTTTAATTTCAAACAAGTCGCTCTGGCTGATGACCTCATCGGCCTTATGTGGTATAAATTATGCTGCTGGATCCTATGCCAGCTCAAAAAAATGTTAATCTCTTTTTTTCCCCTCTCTTTCATTAGGGGACATGGGTGTAGGAAAATCCTGCTTACTGCACCAGTTTACAGAAAAGAAATGTAAGTGGATGCTCACGTTGCTCTTTAACTCAAGTGGCAACTGTTGAAGTTGTTTTTCTCATCTCTCCAACATGTACCAGTTGATGGGTTTTTTTGCTGTATTCTGATCTTGTTGTTGTACAGCCACTGACAATGGTTGGAACACAGTTGTGGGAGACTCTCTTGGCAAGATGGCATTCAGTGTGGTTTTTAACAGTGAAGGCTTAACACATTTTGCGCCCATGCATAGCTCCTTCTGTTTGAAAAGATGTGGGTGGGTAGACAGAACATCTGCACACTTATGCGGCACTCTCTACAATCACGCTTCTTATGCTGTCCGCTTACCACTAGGTTCCAGTATTAGCATCTGCACACTTCCGCGGCACTCTCTACAATCACACTTCTGTCCGCTTACCACTAGGTTCCAGTATTATTTATTGATTACATTCCGTGATTTTTCAATCCCTTTTCCACTTACCTGGGTACGCTGTAACTTACAAGTCTAGTTCATTCAGAAGCTTTCCCTTGTGTGAAATTGATGAAAGCCCTGGTGGCCTCTGTTTCTGGAGAGGATGCGTGTCTGTGTTCTAAGAGAATCTGAAGGGTTCATTCTCAGGAACAAAACAGGCACTGAGGTGTAAGAGTGGCGGGAGGCTTTGGCGCTGCTTATTACACTTCACCATTGGCTTGGCTTTCTGTGAATCATGGGAATTGATGTTCCACACCCTGACAGCCACAGATCTTCTGGCCTGGGTCTGGAGCTAGTAAGGTTTTGAAAGAACAGTTCCCTCTTTCTCATTTCTAATGAGAAGCATGAGTTTGGATCGGCTGGAAATGATATAGCATTATACACACAAAAAAATCCTGAAAGACACTTCTCTCTTATATAGTGCCTTATTAAGGAGAGAGCCCTTTCTTCCCTGTTTTAGTTGTCGTGTGTCAGAATCACTTCTCCCTAAAGAGAGAGTATCTCGGGCGAGGAGTCGCTGTAGGAGTCAGGAGGTGAGGCTGAGGAGCCTGACGCTGAGGGAGGCCCAGAAGGAAAAAAACAAGAAACCGGGCCTTCTCGGCGGTGGCTCCTCACCTCTGGAACAATCTCCCTCCGGAGATTTGTGTGGCTCCCTCGCTGGGTATTTTTAAAAGCCAACTGAAAACATGGATGGTTAGGCAGGTCTTCCCCCTCAGTTAATTCCTGATTTTCTTCCCCCTCTTTTCTATTATGATTTATTCTGCTTTTCTTTCCATCTTGTAGAATTTTTCTAATTGTGTAAACTATTTTTTTTTAATATATCTGTTATTGCATTTCTGTTGTAAGCCGCCTAGAGTCGTCGCAGTTGACCAGATAGGCGGGGTATACAGTAAATGGAATAAATAAATAAAATAAATAAATAAATAGGACCGCCACTTTTCTTACCTAAGGCAGGTCCTTTAGCCTCGGAAGTGTGTCCACCTTCTTTCTGACACTTTCAAGCTGTTAACCAATTAGGATTATGAGGGCGTAACACAGTTCACCGCCCACATTTCACATGAGATCTGCAGGCGGCTTATCTCATCCCCATTAGGGGGAATGTGGTGTTCCGTCGTCCTCTTGATCTTCTCAAACCTTTGCTCCTTATCTCGGCGCCAGGCAGAGCAAACTTGGAACAACCGTCCCACAAGGCATTCCGTGGTTTAAATCCAAACGACACAGTCAACCTACCAGACTCCATCTTTGTATGACTACAAGACCCATATGCCTTCGCAGTTTGTGTGGTGTTAAGCAAGACTGATGTGGCTGCAAAAGATAGTTGAGGAGGGCTATCGAAGGAAGCACCTGGTCTGCTAAATCTCTTTTTTTCCCCCCTCTGTCCTGCGAACAGTTATGGCAGATTGTCCCCATACAATTGGTGTGGAGTTTGGCACAAGGATAATTGAAGTTAGTGGCCAAAAAATCAAGCTTCAGATCTGGGACACAGCAGGGCAAGAGCGATTTCGGGCCGTCACGCGGAGCTACTACAGAGGAGCAGCAGGGGCTCTTATGGTCTATGATATTACTAGGTAAGACGTCTTCCTCTGCTAGAAACTCTTGTGTGGATTTGCCTAACCCAAACACCCTCCTGTATTCTTCCCAAATGGCACAGAAACTGCTTTATTAAATTTAGCGGTATAGAATTATCTGAAACCTGCAGTGATCATGTCACTGCTTTTAAGGTGTACCAGCGAGGTTTAAAATTTGGACTCCTCTAATTTTTAATAACAGAACCTTCCTGCTGGATTACGAAGTTCAGGAAAAAAAATCGGGAAAAGGTTGTTAGGGATTAGGAACAGGGTCTTTTTGGTGCTGGCACTCCGATTCTAGGAGACCCTTTGGGCTTCAAGTAGCTGCTTTTTTTGGTGGGGGGGAGTACAGCCCCCCAAATCCCTGGCCCCCCCAAAAAAGAGGAACTTTTCCACACTGAGATACATTCACACACATATTTGGTTCAGAAAAAATCAGGACAAGGCTGCACAATCCTCAAAGCAATACAAATGCAGGAACAGATGAGACGTGTTTCAGGTTTCCTGATGGTTATCCTTTGTGAATTTGGCCTATCCATCTTAAAAGCAGAAAGCAGAACTGTAACCCCATAGCAGATGCCATGGGCTAGCAGTGCCTTCTCGATCTTCAAGGAGACGCTGGTATTATTTAGCAGAATTATGGCCAGTGCTATGCCCTTCCAAAATTCTCATTGAGAAATTGCTAAATTGGTTTTATGCTGCCCCAGGCCTCAGCGGGTTTCCCCTTGATAAACAAGGAAGTGAAATTAGCAAAGGTCTTTTTTCAGATCTCAGTCTGACCGCTTAAATCAGGGAATAAAGAACATAGTCTTCTTCCATTCTGTGCCACTCCTGCAAATGCAGTAGGAAATAATCTGGCATATTAACCATGCTGAGCTCCTGTAAATATTCAAGTCTTTAGTTCTTGCTGTTTTCTCTCTTGCAGAAGAAGCACGTATAATCATCTAAGCAGCTGGCTGACAGATGCAAGGAACCTAACTAATCCAAATACTGTGAGTTTGGTCATTTAAAAATAATTGCATTAGACATTACGCTGTTAATCGCTTAGCCTTTGATCACCTGTATTTTTATTGGTTTTTAAATGTAGCTAGATTTAATATGACCTCCCAATTGACTTTTTCAAACACCAGAAATATGAAAACTTGTTGTTTGGTGAAACAAATCTTACCACCTATTGAAAGTTTCTTTTTAATTGCTGTTTCCCTCCTCATTAAAGCATGCTAGAACGAGACTGGCTTCAGATTAAGTAAGAGTGCCCTTAATGTTCAGCTTCACTGGTTTCATTTCCAATTCCATCAACGATGTCTAAAACACCGTCAAAAAGTCATGTCTCCGACGAAAGATCTAATCTCAAAGCAGAATCTAAAGATTACTAAAGTGGTATTTGCCATAATTGAAGTTGGCAATGACGATTTTGTTTGGGGACGTGTCTAAAGGCACTACGTATCCTAGGGAAATCAGGACTCGCATAACCCCTGCTCTTATGCTCGGTATTGTAAAAGCAGTGGAAGGAGATGTTGGTAAAATGAGGGATGGAGCATCTCTGGATCTGTTGACACAGAAGTTGGAATTCTGGCTGCTGGCTGCTTCTGAACGAGCCTCAGCTGCTTCTGGGTGTCTCCATGAAAACTTAACCATAAGACACAGTTCTGGAAGGCGGTTGGTGCCAGCCTGGCTGATGGGAGGGGGGTTTGGTAAGTTTCTGTACCTTCTCCCCCTGAAACAGGCCAGAACCAAAAGGTAAACATCCCTCTTCTGGTCTGTTGGCCTTGATAAGGAATTACAGATTGCATTTGGTTGACTGGAGTGAGCAGAATGCAGCTCCCGTCCGACCTCACCAGTGTAGCCGATGGTGAATGCGGAGAGCTGCAGGTCACCATCATCTGTCTGCCTCTGAAGGCCCGCACTTTATCCATCCGTGGCTTAGATTGTTTCAAAAAATCAGTGCGATTCCTTTCTCTGCCAGCCAAGCAGGGTTTTTTAAAATTGCTTTCTGTGTCATGCTAAGCGTGATCTGACTCCGTCTGTTCCTGATTTGGTCTCCATCGCTGGAGTTTGGGCCAGCCAGATTCACTTCCTCTTTTAGCATAACTGTTTTATTGCGTAATGAGCACATGGAACGGAACGGAGGAGCTCCATGCCATAATGGGAATCTGCTAAGGTACTCAGCATTTCTGGATGTAGTTGGGAACGCAGTCATACAGCTACAGCTTTGCAGGGAAGGTTAATCTTTACGAACCTCTCCGACTGGCACTTTAGGGTCAAAGATAGGAAGGAATTGTTAGCAACAAGGCTGTCGCTCCGGAGCTAGGATCAATCTGTTGGCCGCATCCCTCAGGCTGGCTCTGTTAACGGCTGCCTTTGTGTTTTGCTTTGGACGCAGGTGATAATTCTTATAGGAAATAAAGCGGACCTGGAGGCGCAGCGGGATGTGACGTATGAAGAAGCCAAACAGTTTGCTGAAGAGAACGGTGAGGGTTTCTGCTGCAGAAAAAAAACACCCACAAGAGATTGTTTGGGAGGGGCAGCGTTAATGGATGTACAACTTGGAAGGCAGGCCAAAACTACCTTAGGCTCTGTAATACGTGGTCTTGTCTACAGGTCTGGCGTACATACTGCACCTGTCCCGCCAGAGAGCTTTAGATAAACTGTTTGTATGTATGTGTGTTTTTTTATGAGAACTAAAAGGGTGCGTGTGACCGACCCACCTGTCCCACCAGAGAGCTTTAGATAAACTGTGTTTGTCTCTCTGTGTGTATTTTTTTCATGAGAACTAAAAGGGTGCGTGTGACCGACTGACACCAAGGTCTCATTTTGTTTGCGAACAGGGTTGCTGTTTCTCGAAGCAAGTGCAAAAACGTAAGTGTCTGGTATAATATCTTCAGATTAAAATAACTCTAATGAACATATATAATTTTCCTTCTGAGAAAGCCGACGGTTCTTTGGTGGATGGGAGAAAAGAGTGTGGAAATCTGGCTTTTTAATTTTTTTAATAACCCAACCCCAATAGGAAGACTTAAGTTCTGGAGTATGGGTGAATCTATCCTTCCGTTATAAAAAGCAATTGGACAGATCTGAGTTTTTGGACTACACCTCCAGAAATTCCTTTTGTATCCAGCATCTTTCAAATCAAGGGGGGCTGAGGAAAAGCGTCTTGTCTCAAGGACCAAACTATATGCAAAGAATATTGAGCTGCCTTTAGCTTTTCTCTGCTTCCTTAAGCAGATAGGAGAATGATGTCCTTATAGGATCTTCCCACTCACCCACCAATTTTTTTTTTTAATTTTATTTCTTTTTAGAGGAGGGAAGGGTATGATCTCTCTTGACTTCAGCAGATGGACTTGCAGGAACCCAGTGGGTTCTGATACTTGTGTTTTAGTTACAGTACTATTGCTAAGACGTTTGAAGTCAAACACCTTCAGTGGGGAAAAAAGAAGCCGATTGCCAGCTGATTAATTTTTATTTTTTGGAAATGGGTGCCTCCAAAGCCCCCAGCAATAAAGGCCGAGCTACAAAAGGAAGTTTTAGTAGAACCCACGGGCTGTTGATCCGGAATAAGGAAGGGGTAGGAGGCCTCTGATCCTTTGCACCTCATCTGGTCTGAGTTAACTCTGTTACTGCTTCTCCTCTTTCGCCCTTCCAGTGGAGAAAATGTCGAGGATGCCTTTTTAGAGGCGGCCAAGAAAATCTACCAGAACATTCAAGACGGCAGCCTGGATCTCAACGCCGCAGAGTCGGGCGTACAGCACAAGCCTTCGGCTCCCCAAGGCGGCCGGCTAACCAGCGAACCCCAGCCTCAGAGAGAAGGCTGTGGCTGCTAGTGACCTCGGTTCTTTTTGGCATCTGTTTCCTGACCTTTCACCTCTGTTAGGAGCAGTGCTCTTTTTTTTGGCTGCTTCAGTATCCTCTGTACATCTTACCGGGTTTAATTAAAACTCCTGAGGCAAGAGTTTAACACAGTACTAAACTGCTAAAATAAAATAAAATAAATAAGAGAAACTTAGATGTAATCAGGTTATCAAAGGCAAGTAGAGTCATATCCTCTCCCTGCATGGTTAAATCTAGAAGTCTTTAACGCTCCCTTACCCCACCCCACCCATGATTGTCCTTGTGAATAGATGTCACCGATCCATAATTTACAAAACAGAACACTGATGCTGGACCTCATGATTTTTACTCTTTCCGTCTTCTTTCTCTCTCGGCAGAGCTTTGTCTCTCTGGTAAGGTTTAACTCTGTTAGCTTCAGCCTTTCCTCCCAACCTGTAACGGGTCCGAATCTGTCCCTTCTCTTTCTTCTTCTTTTTTTTGAAACCAACAAACTGAAAAGTTGATTTCCTGTGAAACGACTTCAAGGGTACAGCTGGATTCCTGCAGGGGGCTCCTTTTTGATGAAAAGAAATCGTGTTTTGCAGTTGGAGACGACACTCTCTGCAGGGGTGTAAGGAGTATGTCTTTGGCCTAGCATCTCTCTTGTGCTCTCTATAGCTTGATGCCGCCTCTTCCCTTTTTTTTACCCTTGGTAACAGAACGTAAATATGTATACATTTTGAAGGAACCGAGCTAACACTTGACATTCTGTGTATATGATTTTAATGAAGAATGAAAAAAAAAAGAACCTCAACTAATTCCTATAGTTAAAATTCTAGGCGATGTATCTCTCGGTCTTGTACAGTTCAACCTAACAAAACGGCCACATCACTCTTGCTTCGTACCTGCAGTTCACTGACTGTTGGCTTAACTCTGTGGTGGTGGCATTTGGAGGTTGCTCTCCCGGAGCTGGTTCTTGATGCGGCACAGGATCGCTGTCCCCCCCCATGTAGTAGCCTCTCTCCCATCTCGGCACTGTGGTCAAACCTCTCTTGCCGTTTCTGTTCATACCCCTCCTGGTCTTGTGCAATCGATGGCGTGTTAACCGGCTTTTCCCCTCTCTCCCTTCTCCTTAGCAAGACGTTTGCATTTAATCCAGCTTCATTCCCTGCCTTATTGTATAAGGAAGGCTGGGCTTCCGGTGCGTTATCTTGCGCTTTCTTGGACACGTTCCTCAACTGGAATGTCGCCGGCCTTTTTCCTCTCTAGGGATTTCAAACTCTACGGTGGCATTTGACACTACAGTTGAACTGGCTTAAGTTCTGCACCTCCCTCCTCGGTTCTTTCTCCCTGCTGTGGTTGTAAAGGAAGCAGCTCAAAACTGTGTGTATGCATCTCTGGTCTTTTCTGCTCGGGTTGGAGCTACATAATGTAAAACAGTCTTGACTCTGTACTGTATTTTCCATGGCAGCCTGCTCTTTCTCTCTTTCTCCCCAAAGGGCAACAAATGTTTAACCATGATAGAGCCGAGACGAGCATGTTTGAATATACCGATTGCAATGTTTCGAATGCAGCAAACGTTCCAGGAACCCCTGTAAAGACACTAAAACGAGGCCATGTTCCAATGTGTAAAAGCAAAAGGCTGAAAACCAGCATTATTTGTACAGTTAATGTTAAATAAAAGCCAAAACTGGAATGTGCAAATCATTAAGTGTTTGGGTAACCTGTGCGCTATTCCCTTGTTGTGTGTCCTTTTCACTCTGGTTAGCTTTTTCTTTTCTCCTTGCAACCTACAGTTCTTAATCATAGATGGGTATTACATGACGTTTTGGGGGTGCGGGGGTTGCCCAGGGACCATGAATCTGTTCACACAATTTAAGTTTGGGCAAAGGCAAATCATTACTTTCCACAGCTTGTTGGTGGTGCGAGACCTCCTCCCATTTCCCCAAATTTAAAGTTACAATAGGTCTTTTGTTTCTGTGACAGGACTAATTTGGGCTGCTGTACTCCTTCAATGTAACAATGCTATTATCTAAATATTTGTAAATAAAGTACCTGTATCTAGATAAAAGGACAGTAGTCATTCTTTAAAGAGGTGTGCCAAAGAGGATGTGAACGACGGGTTAAGGTGAGGCAGAGAACTTGTCTGAAACTATTCAACCTATAATGTCGAACAGAAAAAAAACACACCAGATTTGGGAGGATTTGTTAATGGAGTACAGCTACTCTGTTCTCTGCAGAAGAGAGGGGCAAACGCTGCTTTATCAGATTGCAATTACGGGAACCCAACCGGTTCTCCTCCCTGCCTGTAAGTGCAAATTCTTTCCGTGTTCTGTAACGTACGTACGCTTAAAGAAAGCAGAAGTTGGTAAACAGTTTTGTCACATTTTATTAAGAAAATAGAAAAACAGTTCCATTCAACAGTGGTAAAAAGAAACGTAGAACGCCTATGTATAAATAAACCCATGCACGCACGCTTCCAAAAGTGCACAGGTACTGATGGCTGTAACTTTCAGTGCTTGAAACAAATTAGGGGCTCCAGCATTGCCACTATTCTCAAACCCCCTCCCTCCAGGACATTCAGCTACACAAGAGGAGGGAATAAACCTGAGTTTGCAGATATGTCTCAGGAACAGTCAATAAGGCAAATGAGGTAGGAATCTTCAGGTACCTTTGAATCCAGCTTATTATGGGCACTTGGCCCCACCAATATGAGTTGTGTATGTTTTTTCCTGTAACAAAAAGGCAAATGATTTTTTTTTTGCCCTGTCTCCACTGCCCACGCTGATTTTAAAAAGCAAAGGAAAACATGTCTCTCACCTCTTTTGCTGGGATTATGCTTTGGACTGGTGCTTGATTTGAGACGGTGGCAGAATACCGGGAGTTGTCCCGGCAGGAGATCTGGCAAACTAGAAAGGAAATTTTCAAGAGTTAAAACAGGAAACCCTAAACACACCTTTCAGAGGGCTGACTGGCCTTCCGAGAGGGTCGTTACTGCGACAGGGGCAGATTCTCTGATCATCTTCGTGAAAGCTGAGATTTTTGCACCGGGTCTTTCATGAAGATAAAAAGCAGCCAAGAGAGGGATTGTTTAGAGATACATGGACTCTTCCTTAAAACTAAAATAGGTGAGAATATTTGGCATGAATATATCAATTAATTATAGGATCGCCCTTCTGCAGGTGGATGTTTTGGGCTTCGCACTTGTACGTGCGGGATTTTTCGAAAGAAAAGCCCCAAAGGTATCTTTCCCCCTAGCAATACAGACAACACACTTCCTCCCGTGGGTGGGTTTGCACAATCTTTCTGCAACACACTTTCCTAAAAGAGAGTGGGAAAAGGGGGAAGGCTGGCTGCCGTGCAAGGAATCGGCACCATTGACTCGCCAGAGTGACTACATTGTAGGTGCTGCTCCGGTCAAATAATTTGGGGCCGATGACAAATCGGGTAGATTAGGAGGATCTGGACCCAGTCCTCTAGATGAGGCCTAACCAGTGCTGCCGTTGACTTTCCAGCGTGACTACATTGTAGGTGCTGCTCCAGTCAAATAATTTTGACTGGATGACAAAGCGGGTAGATCAGGAAGATCTGGACCCAGTCCTCTAGATGAATAGAGAAGAACTAGGACCTTATGGGATTTGGAGTCTATCCTTGTGTTAATGAATCCTAAAAATCACATTGGCCTTTTTTGCAGTCACATTGCCCTGTTGGCTCATATTCAGGTTGTCCTCTACAATTTCCAAGATCCTTCTCATTGTGGGTTGTTGTAGGTTTTTCGGGCTGTCTGCCTCTACAATTATGAGACCTTTCTCATTGTTGGTTGTTGTAGGTTTTTATTCCTAACATTTAGCCAGTCTCTGTGGCTGGCCTCTTCAGAGGACAGGAGTCAGAACACAGTCTGTGCTCTGGTGCAGTCTGTGGGATAATTTGAGAATACATCCTTCTCATTCATAATATTACTGAGCCAGAGGATGCCCAGCTTGTCCCTATGCCTTTGTTCTCCCCACCCCCATGTGAAAAATTATTTGATTAAAAAGAAGGGTGGAAAATCCTTTAAATTTTTTGTTGGAATAGAAAAGCTGTCCTAACCAGACCCAACGGGAAAGGTGAGCCGATGGCAAATCCTACCTGGTTTCTTGCACGGTTTGGCTCTTCGTGCAGAGAGGTGTCTGTCAGCCCCGAGGAGTTCAAAGACAGAAACGGGGAGTCTGTGGAGGTGCTGCTCACCAGCTCGTCCAGAGCGTCAACCTGCCTCTTCAAGCTATGAAGGGTGCCCTCGGTCTGTTGCTTCCCTTTAATTAACACTTCCGCCTGCTTCAGCATGCACAACTGGAGCCGAGCCTGCAATGAACGGGACCCTTTGCGTCAAACGTCGGGCGCTGACCCTTGCAACAGAAAGCAAGGACACTCTTCTGAACGCCTACGCCGAATCCCCCCACCCCCCCCGAAGGAAAGTTCTGTGCAGAGAGCTTCCACGCCCATTGGCCATTCATCTCTATGATGCGTGTTCCTCCCAAGGTACGGGATGGGGCACCACAGACCGGGGGGTGAGGAACGGAAACAAGGGAAGCCGCCAAGATTGAGGCGAGCAGAGCATGAGCCGACGGTCCGAGAGAAGGATGAACGCAAGGCAGAAAGAACGGGGTCGCTCAGCTCTGCTCTCTTGGCCTGGTTAAAATTTTGACACATGGACCATTTAGTCTTAAGGGTTGCCCCTGGAATTAATTTGAGCTGAGTTTTTCTCTCCCAGATACCAGGTTTTTGAGCAAGACGACCGCCACGGGGCTCCCACCCAACTTTGCAGATTCTGGCCTGTGACAGAGCCCTCTTTGAGAGCAGGTCCAAAATCTTCATCTTACTGACCGCCATTACCTTCAGCCGATCTTCCTGATGCTCCAGTTGTTCTCTGCGTGCTCTTCCACGCCACTGTTCATCCTGTTAAAAAAAAAGGGGGGGGAGAATGCATCACAGCAGACTTTGAGGGGGGTACCCCCAGTGGCAGCCGATTCAAGAGAGAAGCCGGTCCCTGATGATGATACAGGACGGGCAATTCTCGTAACCCGCTCTGAACACCCATAAGCGAAACAGCTGGGATTTTGAACATTGATTTTAGGGGAGCGGTGTTTACCATGATGTGGACTTTGGCCAGATCTAGCTTGTCATCCAAGCCCGGCATTCTTGCTTCATGTTCTGTGAAAGGATAGTTTTCCTTCCGGCTTTCCGGGGCCCTTTGAGGCTTTCCGTTGGCTTCAAAACCGGCCTCCAGGTCCTCCGACGTCTCCGGAGGAGACTGGCTGAGGTCCTTCAAACCTGTCCGGATTTTGTCTTTCACTTCCAGTTTGAGTATCTTGACTGCACCCTTCATCTCTTTCTGGCGTTTCTCCAGATCCGCTTGATTCTTCATCTGGGGAAGAGGAGACAAGGACCAAGGGGGCACGGCAGAAGAGGGGCACTAAGCAAACAAGATCCAGAGACAGATCCTGACACAACCAGCATCTCCATTTAACCCTGCCTTGGTTATCAGCCTTCCAAGAATCATGACCCTAAAGTGACGAGGCATAATCATAATGGGGCACTGACAAGTTCATGCTGGCCTTACAGTGGCTTTTCCCCTGGGTTTTCTAAGCAAAGAATACTCCGAAGTGGTTGACCATGCCCTTCTTTCCAGGGTGGGGGGGCGCATCTGGGGCTCAGCATCCTTATGCACCATGCATTATATCAACAGACTGTGCTACCTGTGACTTCAGCTGCATGTACTCCTCTTGGATCTGGCCCAGGTCCCTCATCAGCCGCTTTGCTCGCTCGTGGTTGTCCTGCGCCACTTGCTCTAAGGAGACCATTTCTTTCTGCAGACACTGGTTCTCCTGTTTCTGTTGCTGGAATCAAAAGGAAATAGAAGGTGAGCAGGTCGGGGAGGGGGGAAGAAGGTCTCGCTTCCCCCTTTGGGCTTCCTTCCCGATTAACAAATGCCTCCGTCTGAATGGAAACTCGACACAGCCATTTCCTCTGGGCTCACTTTGAGGGAGAAGAGGTAGACCTTTTTAGTCTGTTCCGCCAGATGACGTGGGCTGCGGGCCACGAAAGCAGATGCCCCTCACCAACCGGCACCCGCTCCTCTCCTCCTCACTTGTTGGGGGGCGCAATCTGCCATGGAGGCGGGGCAGGGAAGCCTGTGTTCCTGCTGGAGATGGGTCAGAGTCGAAGAGGAGATGGAGGAGGAGCGTGTGCCCGGCTGGTGAGCAGGGGATCCACCAGAGAGAGGCAGGGGAAGGGAACGCTCAGCCCCTGTGGTGCCACGTGTACGAACCAGCACAAACCTCCGGACCAAGGTTGGCGTCCATCTCTAAGGCAGAGCGTAGGTCTGCCTAGGCCAGTGTTTTAAACCCTGATACAATGCAGGCAAAAGGCTCTGAACATCCAGAGGCTCAATCATCCATGCTAAGCTTGAATGCCATTGAGCTAAGGCCGGGAGGACGATGCCCAGGGGAACTGATGGATCGTGACTCTCCCTGAAGGAAAGCATGATCAAAGTAATTAAAAATATCATTGGCTACAGCCCATCGAAAGCCACCTACCTGAAGCGACTTCTCCAGCTGGGCCCTCTGTGTCTGGATGGCTTCCTTCAGGCTGGCGATGTGCTTTTCGGCTCTTTCCCTCTCTTCCTGGATCTGAGCTCGGAGCAGGCCCTCCTGGGCCCTGGACCGTTCAAGCTCCCTTTGGAGAGAGGCCACCTCCCCTGCCTTTTCTTGCAGCTGCCGTTCTTTCTCAGATAGTTGGCATCCTGCAATCAAGAGCATCCAGGATGACCTGCTCGGTGTGTTATCTGAGGCTGGGCTTATCTGCCAGGGAGCCCAGGAAGTGGGACTGAAAAGGTAAAATCTACACAATATCTCCAGGGCTGATCTCCCTTGCGCCCAACCTACGTGTCTTGCGGATGGTGTCTTCTAGGGTTAAATGCCACGATTCCACTTCTTGAAGCTTCCGGAGCCGTTCGTCCGCCTGCTGAACTTTGGCAATCCCCTCCTCCAGCTGGCGACGCTGCTGGGCCTGCTCTTCTTCCAGTCGCTGTTTCTGATCCATCAGTTTAGTCAAGCACTCGTCCGCCTTATTTTTTTCCTGCTGCGTCTCCTCCCGGAGATGCTGAAGGACCTAGCCAAAGAGAGCAAGCACATCCAGGATTCACCCTCCCGGCTCAAGGATGCAAGCCGCGTGAACGCATGGACCTCCGAAGCGACCCTTGTCGCAAAGTAGATCTCCATGCACTTTTAGACAGGTACTTTGAATCAGAACCACGTATGTTAATAGTTGGTGAGTCAGGGAAAGGATCCGTCATGCTGTGAAAACATAGGTTTTCCCCTTCCATCATAGGAGAATGGATTTGTGTGAGTCATTAACTAACATTATCGTGTGAAGAAGCTCTGTGAATACAGGGACTGACATCCAAGGTCAACAAATTCATTTTATTTGAGACCAGGGAATGAAATTAAGCAAAATCATTGAATTGCAGAGCTGGAAGGGACCTTATAGATCATCAAGTCCAGCCCCTCTCAAGGAGGCCTGTGGGGGCATCAAACTCCCAACCGCAGGCTCCACAGCCACAAACCTTAACCCCAGTTCAATGGCAAAGTGCATGTCCTAAAGACAGAAATCATGAAAAGGGCTACAGAAATTCTCTGGTCGAGAGCTGGGCGAACTTCTGCCAGTCAAAAATATGCATGGACCAGCATTCAGATTCAGCAGAGGAGTTTCCCCAGATCAGAATGGCTAAAAAGTCAAGAGCAAGCGTGCTGCTTACATACCGCACCACCCTCTGGGTGGTTTATAACATCGTTATGCAGGCTACAAATTGCTCCCCCCCCTCCCTCGTGAGCTGGGTACTCATTTCACTGACCTCGGAAGGATGGAAAGCGGAATGAACCTTGAGCCCGGCTACCTGGGATGGAAACCCAGGTTATGAGCAGAGTTTTGGCTGCAGTACTGCAGTTGAACCACAGCGCCATGCGGATCTGGCTTCTAAAGAATTTTTGCTTTGCAAAAGGATCAGCTATGGGAGCAGCAGTTGCAGGCCCCGACAGAGTAAAAGAATGTATGTGCTATGGGCTGTGGGCTCCAGCATTTAATTTCTGACATCTACCGTTTAAAAACATCTTAAAACTGAGGAGGCAATAGCTTAGGACATTCTAAACGGTTCAGCTATGAGAGATATTTGATAAGAGATTGGGAGTTTGATTCCTCCCACTGGGCCTCCATCACAGGGGCTGGACTGGATGACCCACAGGGTCCCTTTGAGCTCTGCAGTTCCAAGGTGACGATGATGATATCATACTAATGATCATGATGCAGGTCATCAGCCACAAAAGACTGTGGATTAGACCCACATACCATCTCTTGCTTGGCCCTCTCCTGCTTCCGATCTTCTATTTCCTTGCAAAGATTCTCCAGCTGAATTTCCTTCTTCCTTTCCGATTCTTTGCATTCGTGACCTTTCCGCCTCCAGTCGCTGACGCTGTCTTTCAAGGCTGTCTCTTCTCGAAGCAGCTCCTCTTTCCGCTTCGTGGCATTTTCCACATCCTAACATGTTGCAGGAAACACGCACGGGCAAAATAACAGTAACAATAATAACAGGAACACTTCGACACAAAGAACGAGGAAAGCAGACGTTAGGTACAAGTAGCCATTAACCTCAAAATGAGGAAAGACGGAAAGAAATAGATTTTTTTTCCAGTTTCTTATCAATTCTATCCCTGAAAACGAAAGATGAACAAACCATACCTGTTCCAAGAGCTGAAGATGATGTCTGGACTCATTCAGTTCCGTCTTCAACACATTCAACTCTTCTTGTTTTTCTAAAGAAAACACATTTTACAGTGTGGGTTCGGCGAAAATAAATCCCCGTCGTACAGGTCACTTGACATAAACGGGGTTGGTCTAAATAAAAAAGACTGGTTCACAAGTACACACGGAAAGCTTCCTCTACCCTGAAAATGCTTTTGTAGGTTTTCAAGGTCTCCGTTTAAGGATCTTCTGTGTTTTTGTAGCTGGTCGATGTCAAGCTGCAATTCCCGGACATCCAGATCCATTTTTTCAAAGCTGGCGAGGGCGGCTTTGCTGCTACCTTCTGTCGAAGCCAAGGTCCTGTGAAAACGGGGTAAGGCAAACATTTCTGCTACCTTTTTGGCAAACTTAGTTTGCTCACAAAATTAAAACAAAGAAAGACAGCATGGATCAGACTTTATAGTTCTACACGGGGATCAACGGTGACTGGAGCTGAAGTGATAAAGTGGAGGTGAGAGGCCCAGCAAAAATTACCCCAGGAAGGCATCAGACAGCTTTGGGGACTTTCTACGGTAATGGCTAAAAGAAGGTGGCCGACCACCGAAGAATGGATGCTTCTGAATTGTGGTGCTGGAGGAGACTCTTGAGAATCCCCCTGGACTGCAAAGAGAACAAACCTCTCCGTTCTGAAGGAAATCAACCCTGAGTGCTCACTGGAAGGACAGATCCTGAAGCTGAGGCTCCAGTACTTGGGCCATCTCATGAGAAGACTCCTTGGAAAAGATCCTGATGTTGGGAAAGTGTGAAGGCAAGAGGAGAAGGGGACGACAGAGGATGAGGTGGATGGACAGTGTCATCAAAGTGACCAACATGAATTTGACCCAACTCTGGGAGGCAGTGAAAGACAAGAGGGCCTGGCGTGCTGTGATCCATGGGCTCACGAAGAGTCAGACACGACTTAACGACTGAACAACAACCACTGTGATGGCTAATTTAGCCTGGGTGATTCGTGCTTAAACTTGGAAATGCTTCCTTTTCTAAGATAATCGCTCCAATCATCACCCCAAAAGAAGATGCACACCGTATCTTTTCTACGAATGCACGACCCAGAGGCCTCTCCCGCCCGCGGCGCAGCTCCTTCACCTTTTGGTTTGGGACAATTTTTCTTCCAGACCCGCACAGTTTTCTTCCAGCTGCTCTTTCTCGGCGCTCAGCTCCTGGACGCGTTTTTGCAGAAGGCAGAGCTGAGGAGTCAGCTGTTCAGCTTCTCGCTGGGTTTTCTCGAGCAGCTGCCTCTGGTGCTCCATTTCTCCGCGCTGCTGCTGAGACGCCCGTTGCAGCGTCTCCAGCTGGACTTTCTCCTGCGAATTAAGCCAATGCAACACAACAGAGAAAGACTTGATCCTTGGCCACTGGGTCGGCCTTTCCCACGCTCGCCTTGGGACGGGTCTGGTACAGCTGTACAAATACTGCAGGTTTGTCCCCCTGCAAACATTTGATTTGCCGTAAACTGATGTATTGCAAAATCATACTTTCTGAAGACTTCCCATACATCTCCATTTTCGGTATACAGTGGACCCTCGACTTACAGACGGCTCGATTTACAGACTTCTCTGGCCACAAAATTTAGATTCGACTTGCAGCCGGAGAATCGACTTACAGACCAGAAAAAACCCAAAATGGAACAAAAATAGAATAAAAACTGCCAGTTATGGGCAAATACCGCAGGTTTGTCCCCCTGCAAACAAAACACTTAACGTAAACTGATGTATTGCAAAATCATACTCTCTGAAGACTTCCCATTCATCTCCATTTTCGGTATATTAAAAGGGGGCTGGTTTTTAGGATGAGCAAAGTTCACACATTTCCCCTTCCAAAGGCACGCTGTTGTTACAGGGATAAGATTTAAGCAAATCACTTTGTTTTGTATCTGGGAAACCCAGTTGAAAAGGGGCCTGGTTTTTAGGATGAGCAAAGTTCACACATTTCCCCTTCCAAAGGCACGCTGTTGTTACAGGGATAAGATTTAAGCAAATCACTTTGTTTTGTATCTGGGAAACCCAGTTGGTTGTTCAGCGAACACAATTCCATTATAACGCGACTTTCAAATATGACTCAGAAGCAGGCCTTGGTTTGGCACTGAGTATATATTCCATGTGGTCATCCCAGTTCCCTGGGGAAGGGATACCAAGATACCTGTGTGTCTCATTTTACATATTTCGATCGCTGTTTAAGGCAACATCTGACACGCCTTGCAAAGAAATGTAATGCATAGAGGGAAATGTGTCATGGAACATGGGTGACGCAAGGCTGACTGCTGATTGAAGGGTGTGGCGGGATATTCCTGCCTGATATTATCTGGAAATGACGCTACACAGGGCTTCTTCAGCTGGAGACTCACTGGAAAAAAATGCACCCTCGCTTACCTCCAGGATCGCCATCTGCATTTTTTCTAATTCGTCCACTTTTTGGTTATGCTGAAGTTTTACGCCCTCGAGTTCGTTGCTCTCAAGCTCCACCATTTCCAGAACGTGCTTGAGTTCTAAGAATGGGCAAGAAAGAGAAGAAAAAAAAACACCAGCTCTACATAAAGGAGAAGGGGTCCGATCCCCAGCACCCCAGCTTTTAAATGACCACTGAGGATCTCAGTCCACAGTACAGACCCGTCTTTCCCAGTTTGGTGACCTCCAGATGTGACAGACTACAAACCCCATCACCCCTAGGGTACTGTAATACAACGGATCCAGAAGATGCCGTGTTAGGAAAACTTTGTGCCCATCTCTAGTTTTCACACTATGTAGGCACGTGAGGACTGCTTCTAAGCCAAACCTGTCTTATGCTTCGCCACCAATCCCAGGATATCCTGTAATCTCTCCTCCTCTTTGTGGATGTCCTGCGTTACAAGAGAAAGCTGGGCTCTCTTCTCACTTAGCTGAGCGCTGAGTTCTCCTTTCTGAACGCTCAGCTCTTCCAGAAAAGATGTCATTTCCTGCACAAAAGAACCAACACGGTCAGGCACAGAAGCCTTTGCAGCTCCGAGCTCTCCAGATCCACGTTCGACCCCATTTGCTCCCTGGCTGACGCGTCTAGGATGGCAACCTCCATTATTTTATTTTAATTTCCCCCCTTCACTTCCCACCTCTCTTGCTTCCCGAGGTGGGAAAATACACGCTGGATATTCTCAGGGTGGGTGTATTAAGTGCAACAGAATCGTTTGAATGAAAAATGTTGACGCAGAAGGTTTTCACGAAAATTCCAACCTCCCGATCAACGCGCAGAAACGAACAAAAAATCAGAAAAACCTTGATTTGCCGTCTCTTTTTGGTCACTTCAGCCTCGCCGTCCCGGAGAGCTTGGGCGAGATCAGCGTTTTTCTGGGCAAGGCTGTCTTGCAGAAGATGCAGCTCTTCTTTTTTCTGTCCGAGCTTCCGGTCCAAACTTAGCACTTCCTGCTGTTGAGCTGCTGACTAGAACAAAATGGAAACGAGATGGGGGGAAAATGGTGTAGAGATATAACCATCCCCCAGAGATTATGCACTCGTGACTCAGCTCTCGGAATTATTTGAGTGCAGAATCTCGCAGAACACTTGTTCTTTCCGGGACCTGCACTATTGCAGCAACTGAGTTTCAGAGCTAGGCAGATATCAGCTCAAAAGCTTCTTCTACCCACATACTCACCTATTAGTTACATTTTAGCCACCTATCTATCAGCTCCTGGCACTTTCACAAACAACTCAATAAGGTGTCATAGAACTCCTCTTCCCCATTGCTTAACCAAGCTTTCTATCTTGTATTTTAGGACGCCTGTATCTGAGGACGGTGTGGGTACAGGCAGGATTCCCCGCATCACAAACCCTCCTTTACCTGATCCTTCAGCCTCTCTAAGTCAGTCTTCTTGCTCCGAAGAAGGTGTTCGGCTTCTTTCAGGATCCGGAGGTGGTGATCTTCGTTGCCTTCAGCGACCTGGATATTTGCTTGCAGCTTCTGAAGGCTAGAAGTGTTTGGAACGGAAATAAGGTTCGGGGGGACATGCAAACCCATCAGGCGCCCAGTCTGTGCTGCATTCTTAAGATGGTGGAGAGGGACCCCGATACGCTCTAAGGTGCCCACCTGGGGCCACCGCTGTTCAAACCCTACCCACGGAGATCATGCGCATGTAGACATGGCCGTTGCAAGGGAATATCCAGGGCCCACTCTGTGGCCAGTGAGAACACCGCAGAAAGTTAAAAACAGAGAACTGAAAGAACCTATATTTCACTATGATGGACCCAGTGTGGTCACTTAAACTATACGGCTCTCTAGTCTATCATCGCACCAGGCATGAATACAGCAAAGGAGACTGATGATTGTTCTGAGCACAGGCATTGCTCAGAGATGTTGCTGTTCCATTTTTAAAAAATGCGCAGAGCTTTTTCTAAGCCTGACGAGAATCCTGTATTGTTTGCACCTGCTTCGGTACAAATCTGCAGGAGACCAAGACCACCCAAATGGCTTTCTCATGTATTTGAATTTTCTAGTGCCCCCCCAACTCTTGTCACGTACATTTCGGTCAAAATTTCAGTCTTCTGGCTCAGCGACTGAAATTCAGAATCTTTGGCTGAGATGACTCTAACGATCTCTTTCAGAATCTCTTCCTGCTTCATCTTGTGCTGTTCTAGGTCTCTTGCGTTCGTCTGAAGCAACCTGGAAGACATTTTGCAAAAAGTTGGTTTGCTCACTCGCAATAAATGGATCCAGGTTCTTGCGACGTCCACGATCCATCAACGTTTTAAACCGAAAAGACGAAGGATCGGAATCTTCTCGAGGCCCACCGTTTACCTTAATTGCTGATCCGCTTTGACGAGCCTCACGGCCATCTCCTGAGCCCGTCGTTCCAGCTCTTCGGCTTCGTCCGCGCGCTGAGACAAATGCCGCTTCGCGGTGTTGTATTTCTGAATGGTGTCTTTGGTCTAGGAAACAAAAAAGGCACGCTGGGGGGAAAACACTCTTCTTAAAACGAGAAGCTTTTAGGGGCATCCTTGGCAAAATGGTATTCCAGATTTGGCACCGTATTCTTAGGTTTATTCAGCGTGTGCACAGTTATACGGTCATTATTCAATTTAATTTTCTTTCTATCTGAGGATTTAAGATCTTGTTTGTTATACTGTATTTCATGGATCGTCTCTTTGATGTAAACCACTCAGCATAGTGCCTAGCACTAATCGGACAGTATATAAGTTTTTTAAAGACAGAGAGAGAGAAAGGAAGAGAACTAAATAAATTTAACATAAATGTGAATGAGTGCTTCATCCTTGGGCCCCCAATAAACCTAGCAAATTTACCCACAACCAAGGGTCAACAAAGCTGGTGGCCAAAATATGTCGGCTGTAATTTTGAGTTCTTGCACCGTCTTTTTAAAGAAACAGACCAAATCAAGAATTACTTTTCCTCGTGTGGTTTCCAGTTCCAGCTCAGCTCCCGCCAGAAGCCGGTCGGCCTCCCTGAGCTCCGCCCGTCGCTTCAAAAGAGTCTTTTCCATACATTCAATCTCATCTACAACATCGTCGTGGTGCTGGAGCGATTTCTCCAACTCCAGCTCGGAAAGGAGGCCGTTGGAGCATCCATCGATAAAGTCTCTAAAACAGAGAGAGGGAGAGATGAATAAAGGGGGTCAACAGGAAGACCAAGGCGTTATAAAAATGCCACTTTCCCAGGGATCGGTCATACTTTTCATGCCCTCCGCAAGACCCTTCTGCTTGCTGCTTTTGCATAAGAACATGTTTGCAGAATAACTTTGGCAGGAACGTTTCTCCAAAAGAGCAGTCAAAGGGGTTGGCACGAAATAGAAGGGGCTGGTCCCTCCCTTAAGTTCAGCCTTGCTGCACCTCATATTACTTTATTCATGGATCTAGAAGGGAAATCTCCTAGTAAGGAGCTTCTTTGCTGGGAGGAGAGTTGGAAGAGGCTGTAGCAGACTGGTACGGTTGGAAGGTAACCCCAAGCGTAGTCCGCTCCATCCTCGCACCCACGAAGAAAGGCCGGCTGAAAAGCTTAGCCAGAGGAGGGAGGAAAGCCACAGGAAAGATGGGGAGCAGAGAGACTGGACCCTGGGTCCTCACTTGCGCTGGTTTCGTCTCTGGGCTACCCGACGCAGCTCTGCAACCTGGCGCTCCAGCTCTTTCTTTTCAAGCAAAAGATCTCGGACTCCTGGGTGTCGTTCTTCCGTTTCATCGCTCTGGTTGCGCGGGCTGGCTCTGGCCGACTGGCCCTCGCGCCGCTGAGATTTTAACTGGTCTATTCTGGCTTCCAGCCTCAAGATCTCGTTCTCCTGGAAGACACAGGAAGAAGTGCCACAGGAGAGCCTTTCTTGCTGATGGATATACAAGATGGAAATTGCCATTTATTTTCTTTAATTTTTTTCATTATAAAATGTAATTACGTGCAAAAAATTATAATACAAAACCTAGCGCTCCCTTCACCCTGGGGACCATATTATGTCTTAGCTTAATTTTTTTAACCTCTTACGGCTGACCTTCAATCCATCGTTTAACTGTCCCCATATCCATTCCAAAAATATATATATAACCTTGGTCCAGCTTTTTCCCTATCCCTTTATTCAATATAGCATTTATAAATCTGCCCTGTATCTTATTTAATCTATTTGTCCTTAACTCTTCTTTTTGGAACTTAAATTTCGGAAGTCTATTGATAATTAATTCCAATATTCCAAATTTTTCTATGTCATGTTCAGAGCAAGCATACGGTTTTAACAAAATACACCTTTCTTAGAACTAACAAAATGAAATTATATCTTCTCTTGTTTGGATAGAGAAACTTATCCAAAAAAAATATCATCTTTTAAAATGATGACCTCCCAATTTTAGTGAACTGGGGAGGCCATTAAAAAGGCCTGGTGTTACATTTTAAAACCTTATCACACCACTGCTGGGGAGGGCAATACTGCCACTTTCCTATTACCGGCAGGGGTTGGTGGAAGGCCACCAAAGACCATCGAGGGAATTCGCCTCCAGGTTCCCAAATGCCATTTATGGAATTTTATTGGCTGGGGGCAAGAACCGATCGACGTCTACTTCTTAAACATAACATATAACCAAGAGGTATGGGTTTTAATTTCAAAGCCCAGTGACTGATGAGACATGAATAGGGATGGGCATGACCTGCCGGTTCTGCGATTCGTGCTGGTTCGTTGATCAGCCGAATGGGTGTTCCACACTCCCCAGACCCGCCTCCAGAGGGCGCCTGCCAGCGGAGGCGGGGCTGGAAAACCTAGCCAAGAACCTTACCAGGTGATGATGCTCAGGGATGTTACAGTGAAGCACGCCAACAGGAACCAGAGGCACAGAGCAGTTGGCAGGAAGAGGGGTGTAGAGAAGTTGAGTGCCAGCAGGAGGCGGGCCGTAGACCACCGTAGTAGGGCCTCCGTTGGCTGCTACAGAAGGTGGGGGCGGGCCGTACACGACGGTTCCCTGGGGGGCTGGAGTGCCGTCCGGCAGCACGGTATAAATGACCGAGCCCGGTGGTGGGAGAAAGGAAGAACCACCCTGAGGAGCTGCGTCACCATCTTCTTGGTTTCCTGCATTTTGGAAGAGAGCAAGATCAAGCTGAGCCAAGAGGTCGGGGACACTATTAAGAAGTCTTTGGGGAACAGAGACTCACACATCACTCCACTCCCCAAAAAGATAACAAAACTCAAAGTCGATTATCATAGAATGCCGAGCCATGTGGGTCTCGTGTCATAGATACACCATATTTTTCCTTGTATAAGACCATACTTTTGTCTAAAATCTTTAGACTAAAAATTGAGGGTCGTCTTATACACGGAAGTGAGGAGAAAACAAAAACAAGTGGAAGGGAAAGCAGGGATCAAAGCGATCCTGCAGCGCTTTGATCCCTTTCCCACTACAATCGCTAGGCCCCACTTAGATTTCTTAATTTTGGATTAGAAAAGTGGGGGGCGTCTTATACATGGGGGCGTCTTATACACAGAAAAATACGGTAAACTGAATTCACTTCTCTCTGATAGGGAAAGCAGGGAGGCAAAAGTAGGTCATCAAGTTATTCCTGAAGACGCATCGGATGAAACAGACGATAACTGGTGTGGCTGCCCACAGGCATGGCTGATCGCTTCCTGGCTAAAATGGAACTCGTGTGCTTTTAACAGATACACAAGTAGGAAGGCTTTCAGAAAAAAGTCACATGCTTTTCCCTTTGAGCATCTTTGACTGGACGGGGGGGGGGCAGAAGCCACGGTTCAGGTCAGACACGGCGTGGTCACTGGATGGACTTACTTCCGGCGGAGAGAGGATCCTGGGGGCCACTCCCGACGGGTGGATGCAATGGGCACCCTCTTGCAACGGGACAGATCGGATGCTCTTTCTTTCTCAGCTTTCCTTCCTCTTGGCCTTTGCCAATCGGGGTTGAGGTAGGGCACTGGAGGCCGACTCCAGAATCTTTGGTGCTCTGCGATGCAGGAGTGGATGCCTTCCAGAAGGGTTTCGAAGAGTAAAAAAACAAATGAATGAATGATTCACAGTAAGACAAATATTCCATGGGGACATGATCCACTGTTGCCCGTCAGCTACCCTTCTCTTTGGTAAGGAACTGCAGTTTCTTAATTTTTGTTTCTTAATTTTAAAGACGCTTTCCTTCTACTCTCAATGGCCCGCTACGTTCTCCAGCTGGTCAACCTCAGACGTCTCCCAAATCCTAATGAGAGACAAGTCTCAGGAGGAATAAAAGATGTAGCCGATCCTTATTTTGGTTTTAAAAGGCTCAACGCGTTTCGGCACACGGCCTTCAGCAGGACTGAGGCTTCAGAATCAAACCATCATTATCCCATTTGGCTTGTACCAGCTCTGACAACGGATCAGAATGTGCCAAAACACGTTCAACATGTTTTATACATGAGAATTTGTTTCTCCTTTGGATTTCTGTGCCCGTTTTCTTTATGTAGTGCTTCTCAGAAATCCTGCAAGCTTTAGGTCTACCCGCTGTAAGATCATATCAACTGGAAACAAAGTTTACCCTCAATCTGGTCTTCTGCATTTATCCAAGCACTTGTCAAAGCACGTGAAAAAAACATGTCCACACCCAATGCAACCCCATGAAATGACACCCTAGTTCTCATACTTGGGATGGCGAAGGGATGTAGCACAAAGGGCCCCTCGGCCTGAGCGGATCCATGATGCTGGCGATGGCCTCGCTCTGGTGAGAGACGGCATGCTTGAGCGCTGCAATTCCATCCAAAATGGCACCGACGTCATCCCTACCGCCTGCAAGAGAATTTAATTTTTTTTTTTTCCTGTCCATTATATGCGTCATATAGATCAATGGAAGAACCTGCATATCAGGTGGAGCAAGGAAACACTGACAATAAAGGGAGGGATGTTGACTAAGTATCTCTGCCTTGTTTGGGGGGGTGAGAGGAGCGAAGCCGGATTGTTTTGCCCGATTCTGCTGATCACGAGAAGCCGTCCAGACCTGAAGCCTTTTCTCCTGACCTTGGGAAATCTCATTCTGTCCTCCTTTCGGATTCTAGAACCCCCTTTGCTCACTTTCACTCATATCCTTGCACCTGTAAGGTCTACAGAAGAAAACCGTTTTGAACTGGACATGTAAATATGCATCCTTTGGGCTTGGGGATACAGCTGAATGATTTTGAAGCGCCATCCGATCACAACGGGTTAAAAAGTGGGTGTGATTTCCTGAACCTAGCCGGTGCAGGCGGTCTGCAATTGCAGTTTAACCACCTTCCGTTTGTTTCTAACATGTGGTCACGTCTTAAGAACATTTAGAAAGCAATATTAAGGCTGACGGTTCCATCCGATGCACGTTCAATCAGAAGTAAACCCCACTTTGTCGATCAGAACTTACTCTCCGGTAAAATATCTCAACTGCAATGACAGCTGAGCCTAGAACAAACACGACGCGGAACATATTTTGAGCAACGATATACTTTTTGCCATCAAAATGTGACCGTTCATCTCACAAAGGCTCTGCAACAGGAAGAGAAACTGAGCCACACGTTTTTTTTCTTTCCCAGCCCGCTTTGAATGTTAAAAAGCAGGTGATCTCTCCAAACTGTGAACTCCTAAAAGCAGAACGAGCCTACAAGTGGAAGCTTGCCAGTTCTTCCCTTAATGACAATAGCCCCTTTATGTTCTTTAAAGACATTTTCGGGAACATGACCAACTAACTGGCTTTAGCCGTTTCGGACCTTTAAAATGCTAACGCCATTTGCCCTTACTGTTCTAAAAGTATTTTTGTGTTGCTTGAAGCTTTTGACAGAAATCCCATTAGTTCTAATAACGTGGCTGGCAAACAAAGCGATCATTAGGTCCTTTTTATTGTTTATGGTGCAACAGGGAGGGACTGCTCACAAGGATCTCTGAAAACGTCTGCCCCTCATCTTAAAATTCCTAGTCGTATTTTAAAAGGAAACATTTCATAGAAGGTCCTACAGAGAAGATTGTTTACAAACCGAACTCTTACTATAAAACGAATGGAAGGGAAAAACATTACCTGTCCCAGCCTGCTCTAATATACCACGGAGTCGGTCGATGTCTGCTCTCTGAGATTTCAGAAGCTGCTTTAACTTGGCGATCTCCTCTATCTGAAAACAGGAAGCCACTGTCTCTGAGTCGTTCTTGTCTCGTTCGTGCTGAAACGATCAGAAAGCACCTTCAGTCAAATCTCTTTGGGACTCACATACACACAGAGAAGGATACGGATTCTCAAGGCTGAGTTACGGCGTCAACGATTAACATGTTTTGATAAAATATTAAGAACGTCAGCCAGAGAGCTTAGACCTGACTCCCTTTTCAAAAACAGCCTGAAAAGAGGGAAGTCTCTACATGCCACCTGCTGCTCTTCACTGCTCTTCCCAGATCGGTACATTGTGCACTCAACAAAATGTTAAATTCCTCTGAATATTACACTGATCTTCCGGAATGCCGGTCTCTGATCTGGCCTCGTACTTCCGGGACTCACTGGGACACATGAGTGGAGGCACCATCTCGTCTTTCTAAGGCACGTTGCGTTTTGCCCATCTGCGTCAGTGTCTTGTTGGCGATGCGTACATTTACTGGAAGGACGACCTACCTGTTCTTCCTTCTCTTTGAGCAGCTGCTGCAGCAGTTCTATTTCGGCTTCCGCGAGGGCAAGATCCTTCGTGGCCCGGGTGGCCTGCGTCCCGAATTTCTCCAGTTCCTGAAGTTCCTACAGATGGAAAAGGGGGAGGGGGGTAGAAAGCAGAGAGAAAGTGTCGAAACGATGCGATGTGGGCAAGAAACTGACATGCCCATAGAATGCCCCGATCGCCTCTGATTTTCTCATTCAAGGAACATGTTGTTCTTCCCCCATTTGCTCAGTTCCAGCTGAAGGTGACCTTCTTCCTGGAAGAGGAGCAGTGAGAATCTGGCGTTCTGGCCCAAGTCCAGTTTTTCCAACAAGATGTTCACATCTGTATCTGGGATTCTGGACACTCTTAAAAAGATGACATCTGCCTCCTCCTGGTCGCTCTCTCTGGCTGTTTGATCAAATGAACCAGAATTTGGCTACAGAATCTGGGCCCCATGTTAGACAAGGCATACACACAGGACCTCCGGGTTGGTGATTCTCATCTCTCGCTATCGTCGGCGACAAGGTCCATTCTATTAACGGTGTTGGTATTCTATTCTATTATTAAATCAAATCAAGCAAGGTGGTTCTGTGCTCCAGTCCAGAACTAAAACCCACACCTAGAATAGAGGAGTCTTTCAGCCAAGTGGTTAGAGACCCTCCATGTTCAGGATTATCCATTTCTACAGTGTCATACCTCTGAGCGCTCCTGGTGAATTCTGCAGACCGTCCCATGAAGTGCCCTGAGCTGATCTTTAGCGGCCCATAGCTCTGCGGTGGCTTGTTTATCTGAAGCCGATATCACTTTCTTTAGCTCCCTCAGCTCTTTCTCAATGCCAAGGAACTGCATTTGTGCTTTAGCTTCTTCCACGTTTTTCTGAAAGAGAGGCGAAGCATCATGCGGCACGCTTACCTGAACTACCGCCGGACGAGGTACACGCAAGACGAAAGTCAGAGCACGCACTCCGATTAGGAACTGAGCATCAAGCTGGGCATTGTTGAGAAGCGTTGTGCAGAGAGAAGCCCGTTCGACATCTAACCAAGCTTCTCCTACAAAAGCCCTTTAGGTGTGCTAGACAGCAGCCACCGCCCCCCCAGAAAAGAAAAGACATATTTGCCTCCGTCATGCTGAATTAGGGTTTGGGTCCAACCTGGGGGGCACCCTGAGAGTTAGAAGCCGACGCATTTAGATCGTGAAAGCCGCTCCAAATGGTGGGTGAACTTTTCCGCCAGGCTAAACCTCACCCTGTTCTCCAAGTCCTGAAGCTGCGCAAGAATCCTCTCTTTCTCCTCCTCGGCTTCTTGAAGCTGTTGATCAGTGAGCCCCTGGATCTCCTCCATGCTCTTCAGCTTTTCACCCAGATGCCGGATTTCATCCTCCAGTTGCTGGACTCTGGCTTTGTTCTGCCTTTTCTCGGATTTAATCTGAACAGAGAATTGCAGGAAAGAAAAGGAGAGGGGATGGCAGCTTTTGATGAACCTCCTGTGGGCCCCGGACATTTCCCCAGATGACAACGTTTGCTGCCTAGGGTCTTTGCAGTGACTGCATAAATACAGATTTCACTCCCTCTCTCTCTCTCACTGGGTGAAAAGTGATCTTTCATGCTGCTTGGTGCCACTGATCATTCTCTTACTTTGGCTTCTGCGGCTCTGTCACAGGCCAGCCGGTATTTTTCTTGCGCTTCTTCCAACTCCGCTTTCTGAGACGCCATCTCCTTCTGAAGTTCTTTTTCCCTGGCCTGAGTGGCTTCCTTTTCTTGCCGGGAATGAGCAAGGATCTCAGCAAACCGCTGATGCAGACCGGCGAGGCTTTTCCCTAAAACGTCCTGAGGATTAGGAGATCTGAAATGAATCAGGCAAAAAAGAGAGAGAGGGGAGGGAACAGAAAGAAAATCGGAAGAGCCATTTACTAGATTTGCTAGGACTCGTAATTCAAGGCCTCTGACATTTAGCGGGACTTGACATTCACATGGCATCGGTCATGGTTTTCTCTACAGCAAGCATGCATTTGGGAACCTCAGGTAGGGAAAATCATCTGGGAGAATTAAGGACTTCTGACTTTCAACGGGACTTGACATTCACATGGCATCGGTCGTCAAGACATGGAGATTCTCTATACTCTGCGCTAGCTGGTTTTCTCTACAGCAAACATGCATTTGGGAACCTCACATAGGGAAAATCATCTGGGAGAATTAAGGACAGCAGAAGTGTGATACGCAGGAGCAGAGATGCTTTTTGGAGAACCCAACAGAGACCTAGATTTCAGACTCGTGTTTGTGCTAGTCACTCATCTGATCAGAGAGGAGAGCCAGGAATATAGCTGACTGTTTGCAGACAGATCTCCCTTCCTTGCGAATATGTGAAGCCTCTGATTTTAACCCACCTGATTTCTTCCCCAGTCTGTAGCTTCCGCTGGAGTTCATTCAGGCGAGCCAAGACGTCCTCGGGATGAAGCAAGCCATTGGTCGCGTGCTCCAGCTCATGTTGAGCATCGTCCAGCTGTTGTTTCAAAAGGCGATTATCTTTCTGCAACAAACCGGTTTGGGATGTCACGTTCTGGTTGCGTGTCAGTGCGTGAATACACACCCCTTCTTTCACTGCACCTTCACCAGCAGAACTTCCATCTGGAGCTAAAAACCCAGCTGTTCCCGGAAACGTCCGACTGCAGAAAGTGCCAAGGAAAAGCTTCCCTGGAAACTCTAGCCGAACCTTCTGAGATATAATTTTGTTTAATTTTTAACGGGCTTGAATGAACATAAAATACACCACGGGGCTGTATAGGTTAACTTCTACCGGAAGAAACACTGGTAGCCTTTTGCGCCCTATGTACAAAAATCGCATGATCTAATTTACTAACTTTTTTATTTAAGAAATCTATTTATTTATTTAATAAATACGGTACCTTCAGCTGTTTGACTTGGGAAAGCAGCTGATGATTCTCCTCTTCCTGCCGTTCCAACAACTGCGTCTTGGTCAAAGCATTCTCCAGGGCTTGCCTTTCCTTGGAAAGTTCAGCTTGGAGAGCAGAATATTCCAGCTACCCGTGCACCCCAAAAGAAAAAAAGAAATATTCCATTTTTTTAAAATGAACAGAGCCACTCTAAGGAAAACTGAATGAAGGAACTACCCAACAAGACTGTGAAAAAACACCTTTTGTTTCTAAGAAGGGAATGAGACACCCATTCCTCAGCTTCCGCTACAGTAGTTCAATTTTTAAAAATGGGTTCACGGTACAGGACTGCCCGTTTATCCTGAGTTTCAATCAATGGCTTGGAAGAGTGTATGGGTGACACAGTTCTTCCCTGGATTTGCTGTTTACTTCCAAAGGGAACGACATGTGGGCAGCTAAGTGGTCTTTTGTGCTTAATTAAGGAGATTTGTTCAGGAAATTCATACTCTCTCAACGGAGATCAAAACCTCTTGATCTATGGAACATCTTTCTGGTTAGATTTTGGAATGAAAAAAGGTCCTTTCAACTGCTCCACAAAAAGGTTTATAACCTCACTTCTCCCCATTAGCGCATGTTTCCTAGGCCGGATCCTTCTACAAAAGTTGGATTCTTTCGTACATTAATTTCAGAGGTTGGTCATTATGCGAACTCCATGGAAACTTGACTACTAGTTCCGAAAAGAAACAGGGCTGTTTCGGTTTGCTTTTGCTTAGGCCTGCATAGCTTAAGGTCTACCAAGTAAAACTCAAATGCACTAGGTATGCATGCATTTCCAGACAATCTGTTGCAGTAACAACAAGAAGACGCCAGTGATATCTTAAAGACTGAAGTGGCGTGATACGTGGTGCTACAACAGAATTGTTAGTCTCTAATCTCTGCTTACGTGGCTTTTCCTTGTTCCTGAAGCCAGAGGCTGTAACTTTGTTCATCAGTGAAAAAGAAGAGTCGGACAGGCTTGGACAGTAAGTAAAAATATACCAAAATCCCTCCCTTGCCAACCAGGACGAAATTCTTTTCTCCTTGTCTAGGCCACCAGCATGCCACAGACTTTATAGATAGTTTAAGGAAATTAAAACAATGGCAAGTTTTGGATTCTCTCTACGGGAGGAAGAAGACTGACATGCAAGAGGGGAGACTGACTGCTTTTGGTTCTGTGTTCCGCCTACCTGGCTGCGGTGCTTTAGCCGCTCCAGTTCTTCCTTGAGCTTGGTCACTTCAATGTCTCGGGCCTTCAGCTCAGCCTCGTAAGCGCTCAGGTCTCCTTGAGCCTCCTGCAGGGCCTCGTTGAGCTGTCGTTGCTCTTCCAGGGCCTGCGCGAGGTCAGCCACTTCCTGAAAACGCAGACCGACTTTGGGATCAGAGGTTCTTTTCCAGTGGTTGAGACACCTGTCGTAGCTGGACGGGGACAGGGCTATGGCGTGAAGGGGGGTGGTGGAAGCTAAACCATCTCTCTCAAAAGATTTCAGGCGCCTGTACCAACAGACCACTCCTAATGACGTAAGAGGAGGGCTTACTCATCTTGAAGCGAGTATAAAGCTCCCTGATACTGTAGTTGCCTGCAATGTGCGATGTGGAAGCCTCAAGGGACACCCCCATGGGAAAAAAAGAGTGGGAGGTCAACAGAAGGCCAACAGCTTTTAAAAACTCGTGAGATTTGGGAGAGAGAAGCTAAGTAGCAAGTAGGCAGCAACATTTATTTATTTATAGGCCATCTTTATCTTGATAAGAGCACTCAGCTGCCGGGTGGAACTGCTTATCTTTCCAGGGCCAATGATCAGCAGAAATGTAAGCATCGCCATGATTTTCAAGAAGTGCCAGTGAGCCGTTTACTGACAAATAACACTGGGTGAAAGAGACAGGAAAGAAAACAGCCACGTGACACAACTGTGTGTCAGCCTGAAGCTAGTGCCCCCCCTTTGCCTAATAACAGGGCTGGCCCTGGCTGAAATGTGCTTGCCAACATGGCATTTTGTGTGTATATATATCTTACTTTTTGCAGGTTTTCTGCATCCATGGCAACTATTTCCAGCTGGTTCCTCTCGCCCTCCAGTTCTTCCAGCCTCTGTAACAAACCTTCCTTATCTTTCCGTAGCTCCCGGCATTCTTCGCTGGCTAGTTTGGCCTGGCCTTTAATGCTCTCCAGATACTCCTGCAACCCAGCAATGATGGCTTCCAAATCTTTCTTCAGTGCCTCATTTGCTGCTATCTGGCCTGTGGACAACAGATCAGAAATAACTGTGATAAGAGGAACCTTCTACTATCAGGGGTGGCAAAGGGACAGACAGATAAGAGAGCTAAAATAACAATGCCATTTGAATTCAAGGAAGGAATAAGTTTCGCCCTCGCTATCGGAACGGATTAGATTTGTCGTTCATTTCCAATTGCACAGCAACATTGAGGAAGAAGAGGTTTCGACAATTGTGATTATATTCTCACCAGAAACGGTATCAAGCCAAATCCAGAGAAACAAAACAAAAACCAAGACTAACAATTATATTTTAAGGTGCCACATAGTTTAGTTTGGTTTGATTTCTTCAGATTTTGCCTGCTAGGCTTGCACAGACGAGCACGGCTACCTCTTCTAAAACTGCAACCCGTTTCCTTTAAACAGGGCCCATAAACGTTCAGGGGTTAAATTTATGCATCAACCGGTAAGTAATACAGGAATTGCATTTCCAACTTTTGTGGACAAGCTATCATTTCACATCACCTTTACATGTAAATTCTTTACCAATTAGGTTTGTGGTGGAAGGAAAAGAAAATTCACTGGGAGTTGTCCAGTTAAAGAGAAAGGCCATCTCAATGCTGAGACCATATAATCGACATATGTACACCTCCAGTATGTGGATATTTCCTGAAGGACATGCTAAAAACATACTAATGTCTTTATACGCCCTTTCTCCAAGGAGGGCGGCCCAATCCATCCACGTTTGCTATTCATCTTTAGAAGCAGAACTTTCCCAAGCTATAATCTGGAGGCAACGCCGGTTTTCTGCGCCGTGGACTAATTTTCAAAGGACCGTCTTACCATCTGTGAGCTGTTGCTCCAAGTCCTGGATCTCTTCTGTTTCCTTTGCGATCCGCGAGAGGATCTCGTCCAGGCGGCCTTCCAGCTCCTTGTAATGTTGGTTCATGATGTCAAGTTGCTGCTCTTTGGCGGCTTTCTGTGCCTTCATATGAGCCTGGGAAAGGCAAGTGAAATCATGTCAACTCAAAGCAGTTCTTCTATACAGATACCCCAGATATTCTTTTATAGAGACACTCAACCAATGTGTCTGTGTGTGTTTGCATACACAAAAACACACATTTATTTATTTAGATTTTTTTTACCGCACCCATCGAGTGGCCAGGCCACTACTCCGGCAAGCTGAACATCAGGATATATACGTACATCAGTTTAAACATACTAGAATTCAACAGTAGCCACAATTAAAATATTAAACCAAAATACCCCTCCCCTCTCGCTCTATAATAAATTCATCGCTAAGACAAAAGATGGCAGCAAAAAACTGCAGCAATCAGTTTATAAAACTGCAGGTTCTCAAAAACCGCAAAGGCCAAAATTTGAGTGTGAAAAGTCTGCAGGAAGACTCATGTCTTTACTTTCTTCCTGAAGCCGAGGGAGGAAGGGGTCTGATGCACCAGGAAGGGAGTTCCATAACGTGGAGGGGCCACCACGAAAAAGGCCCGGTTCTTCCTTGTGGATTTATGGGCCTCCCTATGGGGTGGCCACCCATAGCATCATAGATTAAGAGGTGCTGGTGGGATGGGAGATTATTTATTTGACTTGTATATCCCTTCTCCCCCCTATTACGTTGAAAACAATAAACGTAATAGCGATACAAATCAAAATTAAACCCACACCAAAAAATAAAATAAACTACAAACAATTTAAAGTGGTTTAAAGGCGAGGTGGCGGAACCGATGATATAAACGCTGAAACAGCCACTGCGTTATGATGTTATAAGGTCCGGGAAGGCCAGTCTGAAAAGCCATGTTTTCAGTGATGGTTTAAAAATTCCCGGTGGATTTTGGGCAGGAGATTATCATTCTGGTGGCGAGGCATTCTGACAAGGAACAACGTTCCTAAACCATCTGGGGACATGCGTAGACCCCACAGATCCTGTACAATGGGTTGACACAGGGAGCTGTTGGTACCTCTAGCTTCATATGGTCTACTTGGACTTGCAGTAGCTCTCAAGAGTTCAAGGAAGGTTTTGACTTCCCGATTTTGGGCAGGAGATTATCATTCCAGTGGCGAGGCATTCTGACAAGGAACAACGTTCCTAAACCATCTGGGGACATGCGTAGACCCCACAGATCCTGTACAATGGGTTGACACAGGGAGCTGTTGGTACCTCTAGCTTCATATGGTCTACTTGGACTTGCAGTAGCTCTCAAGAGTTCAAGGAAGGTTTTGACTTCCCGCCTCTCTTCAGCTAGAGGTGCCAGAGATGAAACTGGAGACCTTCTATGAAGAAAACACACACCTCGCCTTGCACAGCTACGATCCTTTCTCTGGACAAACATCAACCTCACACCCAAGTATATATTTTTGTTAGTTCCCCCCCTATAGCTACAAATAAGAGATTTATTGAGACAGTGCTGTAGCATCCAGTATCAACCGAGGACAGAACCTCCTAACAAGTACCATGGGTGACGTCAGGGCTGTCAGAAGGGCATGCTTTGCTATCAGTGCATGAAAAGCTCACAGTCCAATCCTGTAGGGTGTACACCCCTTGAGCCGGGGCGTCAGGCATTCAACAGTTGCCTGCATTCAGCAATTTTTTTCCGATCCACCGTAACAGAACCCTCGTTAGCAAAAAGCACACAAAACAGACCAACATACACAAAGCATAACACAGGCAATGAAGTCGACCAAACTGAGATCGGTGAAATACAACATTCCAGTTACCTTTTTTTATGTTGCAAAACACACACACACACACACACACACACATACACACATCACCTTATCGCTAGAATTGCAGGGGGAACCCTTTGCTGCAACCAAACTGTGAGATCGCTGAAATACAACATTCCGGTTACCTTTTTTTATGTTGCAAAAAAAAAAGCCTTATTGCTAGAATTGCAGGGGGAACCCTTTGCTGCACCCCCCCCTTTTCACGTGTCAATTTGAAGCAAGACAAAATGGCTGAAGCCAAAGTTTCGTTCTTGCAAAACGGCCCCTCGGCCGAATTGACATGTTCGTCTGCTCAACAGGAAGCCAGCGCGTGGGGTTTGAAGAGCTGCAAGAACGTACGCTCGGTCTGTCCGGTTTCGAAAGCAATCGGGCAACGAAACCCTGCTCCCCTCCTCCAGAATTTCTGTGCAGCTGTTGAGGCTCCTCGAGGGTCTTTCGAGGGTCGGCCGGGAGAGGCACTTATGTTCCCTCGCCTCCTCTCCTTTTCAAACCATGTGCTGGAAACTCCACTCATAATGCGGACTTCTTGGCCAAAGGAAAGCAGTCGTCCGGCACGGTGGCCGAACCAGAATGTAGTTCCCTTTCGTCTCCCATCGTGCTCTTTGCAGGCTTTTCCCTCTTTGACAGTTGAGTTCTGCTTAGGATGCAGTTTGAAAATCAGCAAAACTCCCTGGAGCTGAGAAGGTTTCTTTGTGACGCCCACACAGGGAAAAACATGTGCTCCAATCCTGACTTATCTCCGCTGAGCTGGACTCCCATCCTGTTTGCTTTCAATCACAGCACAGGAAGCAACGAAGGCAGTCGGCCGGCTCTGGGCTCATAGACTGTGCAGAAAGACATTCCCTTTTCTTTTCGGAAACATCCTGCACGGCTGCTACGGGAGGGCTTCGGGCTTGGGCTGCTGACTCGGCTATTCTTTTTATAAACGAGCCCCTGGGCCTCAAAGAAACAAAAGGGAGGTCGGGAAAGAGACGGAACTGGGGAGCGCCGGAGCCTGTAAGAAACTTTCCCTTTTTTTCAAAATGCAGATCGTAACGTACCGCACTCCAGCGCACGAGATTCTGGACCAGCACGGCCGGGCTAGGAAAAAAAAACACACACCACTGGATTGGACAAGAATGTCATTTTAAAATGAAACCAGATGTTTCCATAGTGGCACATCAGCAGCGCACAGGCAAGAAAAATTGGAGACAAGCGCCAGAGAGCACAATGGGGCCGATTATTATTAGACTGCAGATAATAGTAAACAACTGCTCTTGCAGTGAGATTTCTGCCGTGCCAACAGTTCTGTGAAACCAGGAAGCCGTGACAACAATAAAAGCTCTGTTTGGCATTCCATGTTCGGCGGAGCCGACTCCCAACACCCCAAAAAATGCAGAAGAACCACTTTTTAAGATATACGTTTGCATGAGATTACGAAACCAGTCCATCTGGATGGTTTTACGAAGGAATGGAGAGTTCCTTTCTCCCTTGGGTGTGTCTACACCACATGGTTTTTTTCGCCTGGGAAAAGGCAGAAAGCTCTTTGTCTCTCCTCTGGTCAAAATATTTTTCTCCTGATCTTCTGAAGGACACAATGGGTCCTTAGGAAAAAAAAA